AAGCTGCTGAAATGTGCTTTCTTAGACGGGTCACTGGCCTTACGCGTCTCGACATGGTCCGAAATAGTGACATCCGGAACAGCCTTGGTATACAGCCTTTGCTTCTCCAGATTGAGAAGTCACAGCTGCGACGGTTTGGCCATGTGTTGCGAATGGCTCCAGAAAGGAAGGCTAAGTAGCTGCTTCTTGCAAATCAGATCCGACCGGCAGAGGGCCCAGGGACAGCCAAGATTAAGCTGGTGCAAATATATGCAAGGAGTATGTTCCAGACTCCGGTTGTCTTCTGCCGAAGCTCAGATTCTGGCAGAGGATCGGGAACGTTTGGAAGCTCTGTCGCTCTGTCTGACACGTCTGCCTTCGCGACCCGAAAGGAGAAGCGGCGATGGAAGAAGATGAAGATGAAGTCAATAAAATGTGGAACGTTTGACTCTTTGCTTATGAACCACCTGTGGAAATTTCAAATCGATAAAGCTATTTTTATGGCCCTTGTTTCGATTGGCTGAGATGTATTGCAGTTCCTTCATTAATAACTTCTTCTTTTCACTGGTCAATGAATTCCCGTGCTGTCACTGTTGTTAAAGTGATAATTTTATTGGGCTTTGAATGAAAATCTTTGAATAGTCCTTGTTGCGGTTCTAATAATTTTCTTGTATTCAACTGTTTTATGTAGTCTTGGGTGATACTGATGCAAAGAAGATCGCAGTTAATCCGTGCAATTTGATAGCACATTTTTGATATCCAAGGAGTGACGAAAAATGAAGGTTGTTAGGCAATACATTTTCTAAATTATTGAGATGAATATGTGCATACGTGTGTATGAGAGAAATAGTAAGAAGCAGCGAAATAAACAGATGGGCAGACAGATAAGTAAATAAAGAATTGTAAATAAATACGTAGGAGGATGAAGGATATTTACAACCAAATATTATAGTCCTATGAAACAGTTACCATAAGACTACTTGGTGAAAAATAAAAAGTTATTTCCCCTTTCATCTTGGGCTAAATAGAGTTAAGCAGAGTAAGTAGCAGAGTTCCTTGATTGACAATCATAAACTCAGATTGATGAAATTTCTGGTAGAGCATTTCTGAGTTTTTTAATGGAATTTGTATTCGCGGTTGCCGAATATAGTACTATGAAGAATTTTCAGAATCATGCTATCTGCATTGTCTCGGTTAATAATGTGCTGTTGTACATGAAGGAGAGAGTTGTTCCAAAGAAGGAGTAAGAACGACAGTTGAACTGCGTACTGCAGTGTTGAATTCGATGCATAATCAGAGCCAAGTGGCAGGATCACGTACGGAATGACTTTATTATTTTCCAGGAACAGGTGGTTTCAGTAGATATGAAAATTTTGTAAAGAGGTTCACCCTGTTGGATAACCTGAATGATCAGAAACCATTTACCTGAACCTTCTCGAGGTTCTCTTGTTGGACTCGAAACATTACAGATATCAGTTCGGAGGCTAGCGTACCACGAGGAGGAGTACGAGAGAGACAAATCTGCTATCAGCTATGAATATTTCCTTATACTATGCAGTAACCGGTTCCTTGTAGCAAGTAATTATGTTGAAACGATGCAAATACTGTTGGCATCAAAAACCAGATACGTTTTCTTTATACGTACGGCTTAAGGTGATGATCTGATCGAACACAAACACTGACACAGTTACTGCATTGTAATCCTTACATCTGAGGATCAGACGATGAAAGCCTATGCTCCTGAGCGAGAACGAAGAGAAGTCAGATGACGGTGACTTGGGTAATAATTGGTGAGCGTGGCTTCTCATAATCATTATGGTCATGTTTTTGCGGATTATTTGCAACGTAACTCTGCTCACAGATGTTTGTGGAATTTTGTGGCCACTGAAGACTTATGGTTAGCTAATGGGCAGATCCGGTAGACGCTGCAGAGATGACATCAGAACATGAACGGTGAATGCTCTCCATTTGTGCTACCCTCAACGTTGTTGTTTGCAAGCAGCATAATGGGGTTAATGACGTGTAGCTAAAGAAAAGTTATGCAGTTTTTATCAAAAGTAGTCTAAAATTAGTTCATTGAATTATTAAGTAAATCCAAGGCTGAGGTCGGTAATGAGCAACGACACAAGTCGTCACTAAACATACCAATAAAAAGTGGTCAGTTTTGCGTGCTATCGAAACTCTGCAAAGCGAGGGTGACCGCCGGTTGGCTGGTTTGCCTCTGAATGTCGGGCTTCGCCATATTTGCGGTTTTTGCGCCCTTCCAATCAGGCTTAACCCGAATTAGTTTGGTAACCGGCGCCATCGCCATGAATCACAGCCGCAGTAAACCGGCGTTGAGGTTTTTCGTACTCACTGACGCACGTGCCTCTGAAACTAAACGACGTTAAAAGTGAGTTGAGTTCAGCCAGGCCGTCCGGCCGCCCGTCGTAGGTGAATCTTCAGAGGTGGGCCACCACGTGTAGGATTGATGAGATCGAAAATGTTGTTGTTGTTGTCGCAGCTCGCAATCGACACTCTTGAAAGTTGTGCCGCAATGTTTACCTTTACCGCCGCCTGAGGGTGAGGTAGCCGCGGCCTCCTCTAAACCGACCCGAAGCACAGCAAAATTCAATGCTCGTGTTCGACAGATTTGTTCAGCTGGTGAAGGTAAACGCTTGACGAGTTTTAATTAAATTCGATTAATAAATATTAACAATGACTGTGGTAGAATAATCATATTAATAATTTTCATTCTCTCATTCATGCTTCTACTCTTTCAGAGCGTTTTCATATCGTCCACAGCCGACAACCAGCCGCAGCCGAAGTCCACTATGAACATGGACGCTGCAGCTGCTGAAGATCGACTACCTTCGACCTCCGCTGATGAAGCCGTTCTTGTTTCTGAAACGGAGGCAGAGGAAGTTCAAGAGTGTATCGACATGCTCATTCAACGAGTGACGGCGACCGTTCAGGCGGAACCAGCAGAACCAGTTTGGCTTTATGAGGAAAATCAGGGTTCAGTTTCTCGCCTACAAACAAATCCAGACATCTCGGACCTTTTGGAGCTGATGTTGCAACGAATATGTGATTTGCAGACCAGGTAGGCATAGGCATCGAGTTTGATTAAGTCAGCAAGGTCTGTTGCCTTACGAGTAGTCCATTCATATAGTTTTAGAACTTTTTCTTTATGAGGCTTCAAAACATCCTCCTCGCAACTCCACGTTACGGTTCCACTATGACTTCCCGAGGACATTTAGAATTTTGCTCTATTCCAGCTGTCGTTGCAATCAGATAGCGAGTTCTTCAAAGGGCTGCATAATCTGATTTGTTATCGCGTATGTACAACAAGTACAGACGTCATTGTGGCATGTCCTACCGAACGTAACTGGTAGACAGAGCATGGGATTGACAGTTGAAAGATAATGGGTTCGAGCCATTGTCGGGTCGCTCGCATTTCGTCCTTAAGAGGTAGAAAAATGACTGCCACTTTGTAGGAGAGAAACAGTATCCTTGACAAAGCAACAAAGCGCTACTGCCTGATTTTAGTAGTGTAAAGGGTAGTAACATTCCAGCGAACTTTTCCTTTCTCTTTTCCTCGCTGTCTAAGCCGTCTACCGAGTGACACGTGATGCCAAATGCTCTGCTAGTTTTTTCCTCGACTTTTTTGCCAGTGCCGTCTTTGAAGAAAAGTTTAGCCATTTGCCTCGAGCGTAACGTCCCTCCATCCGTTGGCAACGCTTGAGAGAGATGCGATGCACCTTTTGTTACTGACACATCGTTGAATCTAACATTTCACGCGTAAAAGTATTCATGAATGCTGCGGAAAGTTTTTGGAACAGCTTTTTGATGGAAGTAACGGCCAAAAGTTGGCTCATTATTTCCAGTTGATTAAAATTAAATATTTTAATTTTCATTCGAATTCTTGTTCATATGTATGTTGATCTGTTGGCATGCGCTGAAAGATATCCGGTATTCACATCACAAGAACGTAGAAAGCCAATCGATATGACGCACCTTCGGATAAACGGGAACGATTTCTTTCACTTAGATGCTTACTAGTTGTTTGTGTAACGTAATTGGGAAATATTTTACTTCGTCGTTAAACGATAATGAATTAATTAAAGTAGCAAGATAATTAACGTTTAGAGTGCAGGGAAGATGTATAAAAACAAAAATATTTCAGCTTGACGGTTGGAAGCAAAAATGTGATGGAAAGATAGCAACAACCGATGGTTTAGGTCAATAGAACGATCTGTTGTCAAATCGTATTGTAAGAGAGTGATTAAAATATCCAACAAGACTGTCTGATTTGCTGAGTTTAAGACAATGGGATCAGTGAAGAAAAAAGCAAAAGCAAGATGACAAAGAGAAGGAAAAACGCATTTTGCTACGTTCTTAGATAGCACTGGATTGAAGGTTTCTTTGAACAAGAAAACCGAGTCCATATAAGAGAGAAGTACTTCATTATAGAATTTACTTTTAAACGCAAATTCTATAATGGAGTATTTTGTTCTGCATTTTTAGTCGTACTGTAGTTCAACATAAAATTTCTGTTTATACAAGGGTGTTTTCTCTGGTGATAGATCAATACAGACGTTTCTCAAGGAACTCTTAAAAAATGTTGGCGGTTTGAAGCAACTGGTTCATATGTAGCAGGAAGGCTACCCTTAAGTCTATATTCAGGAACGAACATATGATAGCTAATGTGTGTTTTGTTCCATATAATACGTTATTATATGATTTGCGTATGATGCGCTGCTGTATAGTATGATAATGACTTGTTAAACTCATTACAGTACTATGCTATCTTTGACTGGATACAGATAAGTATTTAGATTCGACATCTTCTTCAATAAAACTGTTATTGCAGTGGCTTCCGACACAAGCATAGACCGATATTAAAGCCTTTATCAACTGCCAGTGTTTCAGCCAAACAACATTGATAAATTCAGGGCAATAACAAAGAATTTGCTTGTTGTTTTTTCGACCATAGAATCAACGGCGTCAACTTCTTTGATATGGTAATATGTCATGATGATAGTTTAATACTATAGAATAAACATATCCACATAATATATTCAGATTTACATGTCACACAGTATTCTATAGAGAACTGTTGGATATTAATAATCTG